GGGCCGCTGGGCTCTACCGCTGAGCCACGCCCCCAACCCCGACCTCAGCCTGATCCAGCTGACCCCTCCCCATTTCCCAGGAGGGTCCTGGCCTCCTCCCGGCCACTTCTTCCTTTCCTCGCTGTCTGCTGGACGAGGTGAAATAATGGCCACAGAGACCCCTCATTGTCGAGGGCCGGGGTAGCTCAGGGGTGGGGCGCTCGCCCAGGGTGCACGAGGCTCCGGGCTCCATGCCCAGCGCCGAGAAAGCAGAGAGCTGAGGTGGGCATGTCCCCGTCCCCGCTGTGCCGGGGCACTGGGGTGGGCCGCCACAGGCCAAAGGAGGAGCCCTGGGACAGAATGGGCACGTGACTTGTTAGGAAAAGTGTGACAGGAGGTCAGTACCCACTCCAGGAAGCGTTCGGTGGTGACAGGCTGACGAGGTCTCTGTCCCCCAAGGTGCTTCACTGGGCAGCACTTCCTTCCCCTCCTTCATGGTGTGGTTTTCTTTCTTTTTGGGGGCCCCAGGGAGTGAACTTGGGGCACTCGCCCACTGAGCCACATCCCCAGCCCTATTTTATTTTATTTTATTGTTTTGTATTTTATTCAGAGACGAGGTCTCTGAATAATGAGTTGCTTAGGGCCTCGCCGTCGCTGAGGCTGGCTTTGAACTCCCGATCCTCCTGCCTCAGCCTTGCAAGCTACTGCGACCACAGGCCTGCGCCCTGGCGCCCGGCTGGCTCACGGTGGTTTGCTCTGTGGTGTCCGGCTAAACGAGGGACCCGGCTGCTGGCCTGCTCTCACCAGAGAGGGTCTGTACCTTAGGCTGCAGAAGCAGTGACGCCGTCAGCGTGATCTTGGGTGACCAGCACCCCAAGGAGCGACTGTCCTGGTAGCTCTGCGCAGACAACAGACGCCCCCTGCTCCCCGCGCGCCTACGAGGAAGCCGCGCCCCTCGGGATGATCCGTGTCTGGACGGCCCAGCCCAGGCTTCCCTCCCGGTTCCCTTAACTTGGATTTGGGGGAACAGATAGGAGGCCTTCGGGGACATGGCGTTTTGCTGCCCCCCCTTTCTTTAGGGGAGCTGCAGGCCCTCCTCCTCAAATCGAGTCCACCTACAAAGTGTCAGGTCTGACCGCCGGGACACTACGACTAGGCAGAGTCTTTGCAAAGGTCACATTAAGGCTCCTGAGATGAGAGACGGCCTGGAACCCTCGGGATGGGCCCAGATGTCACCACAAATGTCCACAAGAGGGAGAGGCAAAGGCAGCTCCGACACATCAAATGTCCCCACGGAGGCAGAGACAGGAGTGCAGCGGCCCCCAGAAACAGGAAGAGGCAGGGGACAGACCCCCCTGGACGGAGCCTTTGAGGAAGGCGCGGCTCTGCTGCCACCTGGGTCTCCGCCCAGGGAAGCTGGCCCGGGCGCCTGGGCTCTCGATCTCCGAGGGAGTCCGTCTGCGCTGTTTCAAGTCCCCTTGTGGGTGGTGACGAGTCACAGCTGCCCCGGGCACATCCACGTGGTCTCTGGGGAGGGCGACGGGGCGTGAGGCCCGGTCAGCAGGGAGGTCTCCCTCGAGGGGGTAAAAGGAAGATCAGAGGCGACAGAGTCAGAGCGTCCTGGAGAAGCCCCCGAGAGGCCCCGCGTCCCCCCGTGGGCAGCAAGGCGAGCGCTGGTCGGGGAAATGCAGCAGCTCAAGGCAGACCTCATTCGATGGTTCTCAGTGAGCACATGGCCCTTTTGCGGTCCCTGCTTGGAAAGCCCCTCGTCACCCAGTCACAGGTCGGCGGCTGGTCATTGGCTGGGGTCAGATTTCAGTTTTGTCCACCAGCAGCACTTGTCAGAAGTGACGCGAGTTCCACTGCACTTACGTTGGCAGATCAAGCGAGACCCAGGTCTGGGGGGCCTGGAGGCTTGGTCGGCTTGGACGCCGCAGGCCCGGCCTCTGTGCAGTCTGCTTCAGGGGCGGGCGCTTCACGTCTCCTCCCTCGGACCCCTCAGAGGTGTCCCCGGTGCCCAGGATCAGCCAGGGTGGTTCCCTGCTGTGCACCTCCCGTGACCCCAGGGCTGCTGTGCCCCCAGCCAACCTCCCGGAAGCCCCAGGAGTTGTGCCTGCCGAGGCCCCTTGGCCGATCCACGATCGACCCCCTCCTCGTCTGTGGTCCCTCCTGGGCCACAGGAGACCCTCCGCTCCTCTGCCCCAGCCCACTCTGGGCATCCGAAGAGGCCGATCCTCTCCAGAGAGCCATGTTTTAATTCAGGTGTGGCTTATGGGGTGGTGGGGAGGGGCACCTGGGATTGAACTCAGAGGCACTCCACCACTGAGCCACATCCCCGGCCTTTTCAGTATTTTATTTAGAGACAGGGTCTCACTGAGTTGCTTAGCGCCCCACTAAATTGCTGAGGTTGGCTTTGAACTTGCAACCCTCTGGCTTCAGCCTCCTGAGCCTCCTGTGCCACTGCATCCGGCTGAATTCGAGTTTTATTGATCCCCTTTCCTTGGTGGACAAAGACAGAGAGAGGCCTTTGAAGAAAACACTCATTTTTAAAATGGTGTTCAAACACCCCATATAACAGGATTCACCCATTTTTAAGTAGACAGCTCAGGGTGACAAGTATCTTCGCATTATTGTGAAATAGATCTCAGAATCTTTTCATATAGAAAATCTAAGACTCTATACCCATCCAACAAGGTCCCCCTTCTCCTTCCCCTTCTGCTTTCTGTTTCTGTGAATTTGACAACTACAGATACCTCACCTAAGTGGAATTACACAGCACTGGTCTTCTTGGGCTGACTCATTTTGCTGAGCATAATATCCTCAAGTTCAATCATGTGGTAGCATGAAACAAGATTTTCTTCTTTTTTAAGGCTGCATAATATTTCAGAGCACTACATATGTATCACATTTGGCTTATCTGTTCATCCAATGATGGGCACCGGGGCTGCTTCCACCCTTGGCCATGTGCATAGTGCTGCTACGAATATGGGTGTGCCAATCTCTCTCTGAGGACTTCCTTTCTATTTTTTTTTTTCCGTGGTGCCGGGGATTGAACCCGGGGCCTTGTGCATGCCAGGACTGTGCTCTACCCACGGGGCTCTATCCCCGGCCGTCTGCCCTTCTCTGGGTGCTGAAGATCAAGCCCACGGACGCGTGACCACTGAACCACATCCCCAGCCCTTTTTATTTTATTTTTTAAATTTTGAGACAGGGTCTTGCTAAGTTGCTTAGGTCCCTGTGAAGTTGAGAGGCTGGCCTTGAACTTGCAATCCTCCTGTCTCAGCCTCTTGAGTCGCTGGGATTACAGGTGGGGACCATGTGCCTGGCTATTTCTGATTTTTTGAGGAAGCTCCACACTGTTCTGTACAGCAATAGTGATTGTTTATAGCGTGTGGTTGTTGGCTATTTGAATGTGACATTGAGAGAAATATCTATTTAAGTCCTTTGCCCATTTAAACATGTTTTTTCCAGTTGCAGATGGACACATCAGTACCTTTATTTATTGTTATGTGGTGCTGAGGACGGAACCCAGGGCCTCACAATGCAAGGCCTGTGCTCTACCACTGAGCCACAGCCCCAGGCCCAGCACTTTTTAAAATTTATTTAAATTTTTTGGTGTCAAACCTTGGACTTGGCCCAATTTAATTTTTTTTTTTTTTTAGTCATCGAGGTGTAGGAATTCTCATGTTCTATTGACCTCATAAGGGATATATGATTTTCAAATATTTTCTTCCCTTTTGTGAGTGGGTGTTAATTACTCCATGGGAGTCTTTTTAAAAAAAAAACTATTTTATTTTATT